CAATTTTGCCAGTGAGAGCTAGATGTTCAAGACCCTTATGTCTATTCAGGTGTCCCAAAAACTGCATTTGTCGTTTCCTGATTGATCAAAAGGTTAAAATGTGCTTGAAATTGGGTTTTTCTCTAAACTTGGTTTTTACACACTATTTTGAAAAATGAAGCATACCTTTAAAAATACTTACGGTATTGGAACCATTTTAAAAATCAGCGTGTTCAGCTTTGGATTCGCTACAAGAATAATATGCCCGTATTTCAATATCCAACATTTTCGACAACTGGGACCTTTCTCCGGGCACATATACACAAATACTTTTGTTTGATACGGTACATAAAGCAATACAATAATATTATTATGATAGAGATGCAGGCACGTTTGTTAAAATTGAGTAAAACTTGAGGCGCGGTATTTGACATGCACTTGTAGTTTCTCAAAGTATTCGCAGCTTGACAAAGGCTTCATAAAAACTTTGCTATAATTAGAGGTTAAAACGATCAAAGCCACAAACTCAAAATTATAGAACTACTCGTATTTCTTACAGATTTATAGAAGCATAAGAAATTCTTTCACGTTCTCACAAACTGTCAAGAGGAACAATAATGAACTGATTCCTGAGCCAGAAACTAGTGCTGGGCGGCTAGGTTCCTGATTATTGAGAGCTAGGAATCGTAGGAATCGACCCCGAACCCAATTACTTACTTTCTAACGATGTGATTTCTTCCGGTGGTTACCTGGTTGGCTCCAAACATCTTCAGGATTTAGGATAACCTTGATTTAGGAACACTACGAAGCATCAACTCTTATTTTTCAAAAATAATTTTAATAAAAGACGATTTTAATGATTAAAGTAACTGGTAACTTCTGGTTTACGTAAGGAGTCGGAACTTTTCTTCCGTAGCATTAATCGTGGGAATCGGTTCCGGAATCGAGCCTTCGCCCAGCTCTACCAGAAACCCCTTTTAAAAAGAAGTTAGGACTACCCAATAAAGTACACAGACAAAAAACCCCAAATATCACAAGTTTCAAACTTTGAAATTTGATTTCCTCGGAACATGAAAATGTGACTTTAATCGTTTTAAAAATAGAATTATTAATTAACAATTTTTTGTGATGATGATTTTCATTTAGTTGCGTGTTCATACAGACATCATAACGAGCGAGTTGTGTAAGCCATGTTAAGGCTTGCACTGAAGAGTTCACAGGTCAACAGTAGTATTAGACTAGTATTCTCCTTTGTGAGCTGTTTTTGTGGACGCAGTACGAACAAAGGAGTTGAAGAAGGAGGCGAGGATAACAAAAGATGACTTCGAATTCCACGAATTCCATCAAAGAGACGAGTTCGTCTCGCTGGGGAAAAAAAGGCTTCTCCATGTCAATCAATAACAGTTTCCTGTTAGATAACTTGAAACATCATTACATCATGCAGTTTTTGATAGGATACCCTTGTCGAATGACGTGACAACTCGAATAATTTCGAACCATTCGACGTAATCGCATCGCTTGAACTCGAACTTCGCCCGTGGGTTGTCCCCGAAGAATAAGCAGGCGTGGAAACGAAGCCCGGAAACTGGATGTAAATTAATTTACTATTATCAAAGACCGTTCTTGACAAGATAGTTCACTCGGCAAAAAATCTGTCCGCAGAAGTCCGCGCTTTGCTTCAGATGGCGTGACTGTCCTTTGTTTTGAAGCTCTCTTTCGTTTCTCCAGAAGAAGATCAAGAATAACACAGCTTGTTTCCCTTTGATTGTTTTTCCCACAAGTAGGGTAACTCTGATCGCAAAGTCCGCGCTTTTTCGAAGAGGGCGCCACCGGATTTATTAGGACACTTTTTAAAATTGCCTCAAAAAGAAAAGAGTGGACTATCTTGTTATGTGCAATCTTTGATATATAATACTCGTAATATACATCCACAGCAATAGCACGTTTACACAACACGAGGACGATCTTCACTCTCTCATCCTCTCAACAGTCAGTATATATACAGAAGGCGGAAATGCTGGGCTGTGCTATTTTTGACTCTTCGACCAGTAGATGTTCTTGAATTCTGAGGAAGAAAATAAGTTACAACGAGGTAAAATTAGGGGGAAAAAGAAAAGGAAGAGGATAAAAAAAAGTATTTGTGAGGGGGATGGTGAAATCAGGCGCTCGTCAGAATAATGACAAT